CCCACAATAAAGACAACTTCCTAGTGGCAAAATTTCTAGAACTATTACATACGTGTGAAAATCACGATTTCATGAAAGCTTTGATTTTGAAATCACGTACTTGGCTTGAATAATAACTGATAATAAATCAGTAGGAAGCTGTAGAGGAAATTGATAAATGATCGGCCTTTCAAAACTATCATATGTAAGTGAAGAACCCTTATAACATCCTATTTACCCCTTCTCCTTTCTTCATTTAGTGCTCATAAAACAGGTAAAGTTACAAACAGACTAGTGTAGATTTTCAAACATACAGAAACTAGCAGTTTCCCTAGATCAAACCATCTTAATTCATACCAAATTCTCCTTCTCTTTTTGGGTATTTTCATTAAGGTGATTAGAGACATTCTCCTCGTTTAAAAACCTGAAAGAAAAAGTCTGTTTTGTTCTTTTTCGTAATTGCCTTAAATCTCTTTCCCTTAACACCACAGTAGCTAAAGACATCAACGCATCCATTACGTCGTCACGTTTCTGTTTTTGTCGTTATGTCACTAATGTGAACTAGTCCTAACAGAAAGTTTGTCACCTTAAACGAGACACTTTTGCCCCCATCTTGATTACAGACAGGCCAAACACATTCTGCCGTTAACCTTAAATGTCATGCAATGCAATGTAAAACAATTTTCTAGACTGAATTACAAACTCTCTTGTTGTGTATTTTCATTAAGATTATTAGCGCCATTCGCCCCGTACGAAAATTTTAAAAAATTGGCTCCTTTGTTCCTATTCGTAATGTCATTTAAATTCTCACATAACATAAAGAGTATGTAAACAACGTTAACCTAGCCGTGAAGCGTATACCGTGATTGGTTATATACGAGCTTTTCTCAATATAACAAAGTCTTTCAGATCATAAAACCAAACTTATTTTAAAGGCGTCCACCATAGTTAGTATATAACTATGCGTCCACGGTCTGGATATCTGAGCTGAGAAATTGAAGTCCGGAACGGCATTGAACAACATCAAGTAAGTATGTTGTTATTGTTGTTGTTGTTGTTACTGTTGTTGCTGCTGTTGTTGTTATTGTTGTTGTTGTTGTTGTTTTTCTGTTTTCTTTTCCTAACCCGACATATAACTATACATTTTGGAAGATCTAACCAAACTGCGTATCAGAGATGCATTTCCCTTCTGTTGCCAGATTCGACGAAACAAATAGAGGGGAACACTCCCCAAAGGAGGAATCTCAATCATGGCCTCTATCCCATTGCCCCATCGGGGAAAAACGATTGACTCCCTTACCAAAATGTCATCATACTGTCCATATAATAGTGGATTTATTTCGCACATCTTCTTCATATAACATTTCGAGTTAATTTTGAAACACCTACGAAGGTAAATCGACAACGAATGAGGCCAGATATTCCACGTTTTCGGCAAACATTTGAAACACTGTTGCGCAAACAGCATAGTTCGTGAACATCGTCACAGACTCGCCAATTTTTGCGTCTTCTTAACACAAATTCAATAAGGTCTTTACGTTACTTTAATGTGCACCGCAAATGAAGACAAAAGACACCGCAAAAGACACGTCAATAAAGTTTATGTATGTATGGATGAAACGAGCGCAAAAAAAATTCCCCATGATCAAACTAGAGGTAAGCCTCGATAACTTAAAGAAGGAGAAATGTTGTCTGGTCACTTTCGATAAGGCAATTTTCGATATTTATTCCATATGCTACATCAACGAAAAAAAGGTATCTGTATTGCTTTTGTGTGCTTTCTCAAAATTTAGGCTGGCGTCAAAGTCGGATTGATAAGTGCGCTTTAAACGACTGTAACTGTGTCCCGTCCAGTTCACAGCAGATTCCAAACAAAGGGATAATCTAGTAGGCAAAAGTCTAGATTATTTGCTGGAATCTCAGTTATCAGTCAAATTTTCGGCGATTTCTCAGTCAGCGATCAATTGAAACGGCTGCCAATTTTTAAGCCATCAGTAAATTTTACAGATTTTAGTTTTGAACGATTATTTTCTCGTCTGACACATAAAATTTGAGAACTTCCCGTCTCCTCCAGTAAAATATCATCCAGAGCCTTTTTCCAGGGTTAAGATGAGTTCTTATTCCAGTTATAGTCATAGATTTTTATGTAGAACTCTTCTAAGATCTTATCCACTCTCCGAGGTCTATGACACAGAAAGGCTACAGTTACAAAAACATTTAAGACTAAAATAAACAGGAAAAAAAAAAGAAAACGCTTTCAACAGTAAATCTACGGGTAACCTGGTTTATTTCAACAAAATTCTCTTGGCGAGTATTTTCATCAAGGTGATTAGCTGCATCATATCACCTCGTTTGAAAGTTGAAAAATATCTTTTGTTCTTTTTCGTAATTTTCTTAAAATTCTTGTCAGCCTCCGGAAGTGCTTAGCGACGTCTTGTTAATGTAGTCATTAAACGAATATCGAAGTACACGATAAGGGATGCATTACATGTACATATCCGTCTGTAGTTGTCAAAAACAGGCGAAAGGCCAGGAAATATTTTAAAATCCATGTTTTTGTTTTTGTTTTTTATTTTTTATTTTTTCAGCTCTATAGAAAATGATAATAAACATAACGTACCGATTCAAAGATAAAAAATGTGGTCCTTTTCCACACTATCTTCCAAAGACCATTTCAATGCTTGCAGAGCACGTAATCAACTATTAACCTTGAAAAGAGGGATACATGTAAGCGTTGAAATTAAATTTCTTTTTATTATGGCGAATAAGCTTGTTAACTGAAGGAAGTGACTGCGGCGTGTATAATTTTCTAACGTTTCTAAAAGGAGGCCTGAGGTTCCATGAACTAGGCATTCAACGAAATACTCTTTTACAATCTGCTTGCTGCTGGACAGGAGAGCGTGGCAATTAATTAATTTGCCTGCACAACCCTAAAGCAAGGACTAACCTCGCTATAACTATAGGAGACAACCAAATCAATGAAAGGGGGAAAAATTAGTTCTTTACGTTCGTTTTATGATTATCTATTTCTTTCGTTAACTAAATAAGGTAACTATGAAAAGAGCATTTTAGTTTTTTTTTTTATCAACAATTAATCAACTTCCCTATTTGTTTGACTTTGAGTAAGGACGACAACGACCTTGTGTGGCTAATCAATGGGGAAGTGGGTGACAAAGTGCTCACTGATTATTTTAGTCCCATCAATCACTGTAGTGTCAACAAACAAGACTACAGCCCAAGGGAATACACACGATAAATGGAGAGGAGTTGTTCTTCTCTTTGGCCACCATGAGCATTCCTGAGTAGTTGGGCCTCCCCTCTAATTGGAGGGAGTGGTCTCCACTAAAGTTGTACAACACAGTGAACGATACAGGTAGCAATTACATGTTATTAGCATTTGCCGATAGGGCTGTGGTAACACTGGTCTGCAGCTTGTGTTTCCACATCACTTGATCACCGAAAAATCCCTCAGGGGAGTTTGAAATAAAGCCTCATCTCATCTCTCATCAGTTCTCGTCCTCGCAAAATTCCTTACGGGTTTCAAGAGGTCAAAAGAAACACGAAAATGTTTTCTATTCTTTAATTAAATGAAATTTTACCATAATGTATTAGTTATTTATGGGTATTAATATACTTTCATTTACTGATTCCGCCTTCTGTGCTCATTCAGGATAGTTTCATGGAGATGTCCTCATAATTAAGGAGGCGTTTGATTTTATTCTTGCAGTTAATCATGACGTCCTCAATGGTTGCCTGTGTTTTGGTCGTTGCTGTTTTCTTGACAAGTCTTGCTCATGGTAACTGTCCTAGCTGAGATTAATGATATAATACTGATTCTCCTTATGGTTAGTGCGCTCGTCTCCATATCGAGCGGTCCGGGTTCGAACCCTGGCAGGGGACATTGTGTTGTGTTCTTGGGGAAAGCACTTTACTCTCACAGTGCCTCTCTCCACCCAGTTGTATAAATGGGAACCGGTGAACTTAATTCTGGGGGCAACCCTGCGATGGACAAGCATCCCATCCAGGGGGAAGTAGAAATACCTCCTGGTCGCTTCATGCTACAGAAACCGGAATAAGTTTCGGGCTGATGGGCCTCTTGGTTCGTATACCTATGACTACACCTATGAAAAAAACTAGTATTTTCATGGTGATGATGCCTTTGTTTGTTTGTATTTTTCAAGCAAAAATTCTAACACCTAACTAAAAAACTGACACAAAATATTCATTTACGATCAAACTACTAGCTAAATGAAGAACAATGACCAGAAACGTCTCATTCATTTTGAAAGGACCAGGTTTAGAGAGAAATTTAAGATTTTAGCTAAAAAGCAGGTTTCTGTTTAGGTAGTCTCCATATTCAAAGCAACTGACAGACAACTGCAAGACTCAAGTGTAGTTCCTCGAACTATCAGCACTTAAAAAAGGGTTTCCCCTTTTTACCGGTTTGATTGTGGAAGCAGTTCGATTGCACTTTTCATAAAAAAATTCTGATAAATATTTCATAAATAAATACTAATTAGTATAGGTAATTAAATGATTTCGAGTGCAATTTGGAATAAATAAGACTAAAAAAAAATTGTAGTCTTTGAAAAATTTACGAGTGCTTATTTATTCCAAATTGCATGAGTGAATCATTTGATTACTTGTTAATAATATACAAATGACAATTTCCGCCACGCTTGTATTTTTTTTTTTTTTTTTCATTTTGTAGACTTGGAGGTCATAAACGTGGTGTCACCACCTCGAGAGTACAGGACATTAAAGTTGAACAAATGATCTATCACAAATCCGCAATAATGCAAAACGATATTGCCTTGTTGAAATTGAGCAACCCCGCCAAACTCAACCGCCATGTTCATTTGGCCTGTATGTCTGGGTCGAGAGTAAAAGTTAAAATTGGC